AGTGTGATAGTCTCAGTGAGGCATTCAAACATAAATATGAAGGAGTAGAGCCCAGCAGAATTTGGGCGATCGACTGTCTTATACAAACTCTTACACTGTCTATGTAACCATCCGTAGCGAGCTCCATTGTTCATCCAAGTGAATGTGCTGAACATCTAGGTCTTCAAAATTGAAGATTAGTATAGATGCTCAGCTCTTTAGGTTAATATGGTTTTTGCATAAAATTTCATCGAACAATGTATTGGCCAACGAGATCGTCGATGGGTATGCTATTAAAAGCCTGCTTCGACAGGGCGGATAAATGAGAAAAGTGTGAAAGAATTCCCATTCCATCTTCGGCGGAGTAGAGGATTCCACAGTGATAGGAGGCAAACAAGAAAGTGAATGATTTCAGGGCCCTTACTTGTTTTTTTAAATGTCTTAGTCAATATATGAGTGCAAGAACGAATGTAGAATTTGGTAATATGTGCGCTTGCCGCTTATGACGGTGTTTCTTGGCTTCTAACAGTTCTCTCTATTTTCGCGGGAAAGCACAGAACACTATCCAACTGGTCCCACATAATGTGTTTTCGGTTCCTTAAGAAGGCAGTTAACTCATTCTTTCCATGAAATAAAAAGACGAGGTGATGGACTGAATTAAAAGATTTGTAACAGTTACTCCAATGTCTCCGTGTTCTCCGATGTGTTAGTTAAGTTTTTATAATTTTATCTTATCATCCTTTCAGTTCAGCGCTAGTGAGGAATTTATGTCAATACATCGTGAGAAATTACAGAAAAAACCCTTGTTCCATACAAATTCGCTAACTTTAACTTCATTGAATCCTCTTATATTACTTGGTATACTTCGGTTTCATAAACTGCCCATTTTCTTTTTGCTTCCTTTTCTTTCAGACTTTTTTTCCTAATATATTCCCTCGTGATTTCTTTACAGAGGCGCAACTCTGTATCCTTTCAGAAAAACTGTTTAATGACTTGAAATTATTAAATCTGTCTCTCGAGGTTGTTAGGTGGAAATTTTTGTTCTGGCTAGCGTTTCGAAAGTCTCGTCGTTTTCAAAGGCTTGAAAGCGATTCGAAGTTTGCTGTTAGCACACTACCCCACCAAACGCCTCCGCTCCAGCGTTTATGACGTTCTATAAGGAATGCACGAAAAATGCCCAAAATTCAAAAGATAAGCTCACCTCACTTCCACTGGGAAGTGTAGCACTACGCTACACGGTTAGTACACTAGTAGCGAATGATCTTACTTCGCTGCCCTTATGCAATAATATTATTATTGCGGATCAGCACGTTCGCGGATTATGGTACTAACTCGCAGTGTTGCATGAATGACGAGAGACCGTTTGTGATTGCCACGCATTCATTTCGGCTATTCATATCTGGATTCCTAGCGAAAATCAGGAACGCTTTCAATGCTTTCCACGACGGTACTTCCGTCTCATCAGCCAAAGTCGTTCACCTGACGTTGAAATCATGACCACCATGCTGTTCCACTCAGTGCTTCCCTAACGGAGTCAACATATTACTGCGGCGTTTACCAGCGAGATGCTCTTTGATTCGTACTGATAAGACTCTTCCAGTTCCCCCTATGTAGCTTACATTACATGCCTCACATTGAAATTGATAAATTACGCCTACAGAAGCGCAATTTCCATTTTCCCGCTTGTACATGTGACGCAAGCCTCTGTCAAGGACTGCGTATCATAGAGTCTGTTCCTCACAAGTTGACGTTTGATGTTATTGGGCGGAATGTTAACTAGAATAACATCATCGCCTCGAACAATACACCGTTGAATTGCAGCAGATACCATGTCAGAGATGAACGGTAAACATAGAGGGAGTTTGTTTTGGCGCGAGGTGTTTCTCTCGTCAATGTGAAATCTTCCAGTATTACAACATGGTACCATATAGCAATTCGACCGAGCTATACCTGAAGCTAACCGTCTTGATTATTGGCGTTCGGTCATACCACTGCACATGCTCGTAGCTATCCTGTGCATATTCCTGATAACAGCCCGTTCAACAGCAGACGGATGCGCAGATGTGGTGTTAATCAAAATATTCTTCGGCTTCTTTTTCGATACCACTAAACGTGTACGATGCCCCTAGACACTTTCATTTGAGTGCTGAGATAGGGGAGCCATCTTGTGGTATCTCTCGTGTAAGCGTGATGTACGGTGACTGCGCATTCATTATACGGAAACACTCATCCATTTCGGGCTGTGCTGAAGTCACAATGCAGCAGTCATGTATATGTCAACAATACATCAAAGGAAAGCGTGCCTGTACTGGTTCTCCAATTCTGCTCAGGGAGCAGATCGCCAGCACGGGAGCTAATCGTTGACCCATTGCCAAACCTCTAATTTGAGAGTAGTAGACACCTGACCACTTGAAGATGTTTCATCCAAGACATTCCTTGATGAGAGTCATGATACGCGCTTTACCGAGCCCAAAAGTGCCAACAATCCTACCGTGCCTTTTGAATTTCGAGCATTTTTCGTACATTCGTGATAGCACGTCAGAAACGCTAGAGCGGAGGGGCGGCGTGCAAACAACAGGCTTTGAACCACTTTCAGGCCTTTTTAAAACGACGAGTCCGTCGAGACGTTGACCAGAATACAAAATCGCACCTAACAACCTATAGGCAGAAGCAAAATTAAAATACCAAGAACAACAGAAATGCCGTGGCTTCAAAATGAGAGAGCTTAATGGTTGATTGGAAGATGGTTTCAAGATGGGAATTCAATTCTAGTGATTGTCTGTCTTTTGTGTTTGCGTGGTACGTAAGTAGAAGGTATTCATTTGTCCATGAATGTTTATTAAGTAGTACCGTGGTAAAAGAAAGAAGCAGATTGTTTTTGAAATCGATCAAAACCTTTTTAATGGTTTGTAATGGGTTGGATATACACGTGTGAAGATAGTTTCCCCGGAAGGGTAGATCATGTGTCAAAACAATGCAGTTGCTTGCTGTTTTCATTCATTTCTGTTGTTTTGAAACAGAGAACAGTTGATGTTTGTTTGAGGATAGTCATGTTGTTCCTCATCTGGCAAAACTTGGGTTCGACTTTGTTCATGCAGCGAAGGGTGAAATGACGATGACTTGCTGGTTCAGTGATGAGCCACCGCGTTTGCCACCGTAAGTTGTTTGTTATACAGTAACAGTTTCTAGATCATTGTAGTTACATTGATAAGTGAAGAATCATGCCTTTCGTGCCGACAAACACGTGCATTGTGTTTTTTATGCCGACGTAGAAAGTGTAACGATTTTTATGATTATTTGTCTAAGCTTCAACTAGGTTCTTGCCGCGAAATCGGAGGACGTAATGCTTAATATTCTGTATCACGAAGAGAAAAGCCTTAGGCTTCCTTGTCCCTTTTGTAGGACAAAGTTCATCTACTACTCTGTTTCTGGGTTGGTCATGGACGAAGAAGGTCGCGTCCTTATGGTTCGCGAGCAGCGCCGGTTTGACTTTAATTTTATCTATTCCTAATTTCGTAGTGTTAATATCAGTGATTGAGCTTAAAACACTGGCTGTATTTATGGTTTGCATTAGCTCCCCAACGAAGTGAGTATGCGCAGCCGCGCCCCATTTACTGCTTTCATAGTCCGCCAGTGGTATGGACCAAGATTCACTTGTAAACAAGAGGCAAGGCGCCCCCGGTGGACTATGGCTGTTGCGGCCTTTTTACGGTATCGATCCATCGCACACATGTATCGACGTGGCCAACGCATACTCTGAATGCAGCCAAATGGTATTCTTGTGCATTTGTCAGTTATAGGCTGTCATCAAGCCTGGCATTTTTGTACGATTCTTAGTGAATAGTTTTTTTTTCATTTCGACCCACTTATGCTAGTGAGATTCATGGAATAACTTCAACTTCAAGCCTGTGCGTTTTGATTTGTTTGCCGAATTGTTTCAGCGAACTCAAGTGGAAGTTTCCTGGTGGCTCGGCTGAACCAAATGAGGATTTGCTTAAGACGGCTGAGAGAAAGGTTAAGCAAAAAACTGGAGTTGTCGCTGAAGGCGAAGCCATCATCTCTCTGGGGTTTGCTCTGTCAAGTTCCTTATTTATTATGCTTATTATGCTTACTCGTTCACTCAACCCTTCTTTTTATGTCTTAATGCTTACTCAATCACTCGATAGAAAAGGAGGGCGAGCGGGGAGTGAAGGTGAATGCATGCATATCCGCAATAATCACAATTGCCCCTGTAGGGCGATAAGTGGCCGCTTTGCTCCTACCGTTTTCAGGTAGAACTTGGCTATGGAACAGGCAATTCTTGATAGTGTTCTTGATCTTCAGCGCTCCCACCATATTGTGCAATCTGGAAATTGAAAAGAAATCGCAATATGCAACTGTGTTCAGAGTTCTCCCGTCTTTAATGGCATGGTTCACGATAAACATGGTTTCGGAGATTTCACACGGTATGAATTCGAGCGCCTTCTGATACCATTTGTGCTGAAATCGTCTCGAAAAACGTTTTGGATAGGGCACAATAAGGGGCCAGAGAGTGGAGCACGGAAAGTTCTCGCCCCCGCTGGGCTGACTACGAAATCTAATTGTCGTTCACCACTTTCGCATTGGAGCGATGTTAGTAAAAAATCAATAGGCTGGTCGACCATCCGATATTTATGTATTGTATTGGACCCTATGGCTATTCTACTGGTGTTATCTACTATTTTTGCCTGAAATTGTTCAGTTGCTGCGATTTGGATCGGATCAGGTAAGTTTACTGCGTATTTGAATTAATGCAATAGTTTCTGACATGACATGACATGATATGGTTGACTCATAATGATTAATTTGCATTATTTTTCATTCATTCATTATTCGATCTTTGACCGGATTTTGACGGAATGTTCTTAATAGATGTCAAGAACATTCGTCGAAGCTGGATTAAAGATTGCTAGGATGTTTTGAGTTAATTATTGCATGCCATTCTTTTCCTATCCTAGAAAACCAATGCATGCTAATGTATAATATAATCAAACTTTCATTGTTTTTATCCTATCTATTCTACATGTTCTTCATACGGGATCATCGATGTGTTCTTGTTCAATGTCAGGAACACGCTTTGATTTGAAGAAATAGTGCGGTTGTAAACCTTTACATGCATACACCCTTTAGGAAATGGGAGTATGGTGAGTTCAATTTAAAAACTCCCATATATTACTTTTTTCTTTTGATTTTTTTAGCGATATGTTCGTAGATACTTTATTGTTCGATGTTATTATCGTGTTCTTCATAAGTTCGGCGAAAGTATATGAGTTAGGAACTAAAATTAGCATGTGCGCGTAGACAAAATACTGGTGTGGTGAGGCCCTTTAGTTAATTACTCTATCAGTTCCTTCGTTTTTAGTTATTATTGCAATAATTACGCTGAAACAATATTGTTTGATGGTAAGAAAATTGAATTGACCTTTTTTATTTCAATAAAGGATAAAGGATAAAGTTTTTGGCGTTAATCAATCCCGTCTGAGGGATGCGCCCCCGCACTCGACTTCCATTTAGAATCGTAGTGGCGTAATGAGTGCGTATGTGGCCTATACAATGACTTGCAGTGGCCAGCCGATGTACAAGTCAGTGCTTTTATCCTCCCAGACGAGTCTGGTACCAATTCACCGACCCCGAGGGGATGGAAGGCTTGGTTGGCCTAGGCGGGCATCGATCCGGGATTCGAACCCCTGACCGTGCGTGTGATATAGTGCGCCACTTGCCACTACACCACCTCCGCCCCTTTCATCGAAATATGCGTATTCGGCTTACAATATTAATGTGTTTTATTTCAATACACATTAATATTGTAAGCCGAATACGCATATTTCGATGAAATACAGACTTGGTTGACTTTCTTTTGAATGTAAACTTTACCACTGCTTCATTTTTTACATATTGGCATTGTATAGTCATTGACATCTTACGGTTTCCTATTAAGCACCTTGTAAAGGGTTTTGTTTCTTTCATATCCATTTCAGTGTATGTCACAGGTCAATCCTCGTCACATGGCGAATCTCCTTTGTAGAGATAACGTTCTTAATAGCAAACAGTGCATATTAATAGCAATGCAATCAAGAATAAGTAGAAAATGAAGAGTTGGTAAAGATAACATTCAAAAGAAACTCACCAAGTCTGTAATCCATCGAAATATGCGAGTTCGTCATACAATATGAATGTGTATTGAAATAAAAAGGACAAATCAAACAAACACAACCTTTCTAACATTAAACAACAACATAACATCAGCACAACTCTTAACAACTGAAATAGAAGGAATTACTGGAGTAATTAATCAAAAGAGGTTCACCACACCAACATTCTCTCGAGATGCACGTGCTCAATCACTATCAAAGACCAAATAATTGCGCAAACGGATTGACAACATGACAACATCATTTGACAGAATCATATCTACATTACCACCACTAAAAAGGATCAAAAGAAGATAGTATCATTTGAAATGTTTCAAAACAGTCTCACCACATTGGCATCTCCGCGGGGGAGAGAGGAAGGGGTGGTGTGGCATATAATTTTTCAGAAGAGAGTCAGAGAGTCTCCTCGACATTGTACAAGAACGCATCAAAGACCCCAAATAAAGAACACGCATAGCAAATAAAAAACAACTGAATTTTCTAGCATGAAAGTCATAGAACAACGCAATTCAACGAAATATAAGCTAACATAAGTACATATTTTGCCGTAAAAACATGAATATAAACAATTTTACTTTTCGTTCCGGCGAATCGAATAAACAGAATAATTCAGCTGAGTAACAGCAGGCGATAATTATTTCTAGCGCAGAAAGCGAAATCAGCTGTTTTGGCGTGTTCTACGCAATTGCAGATCCGTTTTAGCTCACACAAACATTTTATCTACACCTCTTTTCCGCATCACACTCGCTCACCACTATTTTTCGCTAGTTTTTTGTCTCTTTTGTTTCTTTTTACATGCCATTTTCACGTTTTCGCCTTTGTCATTGTACTACTCTAGGCCTTTCATTATCCTCGAAAAACCGGATACTCCAAAATTATCGTGAACTGTGCCTTTGAGAGCTATGCATGTATGATTGACTCGCAAGTGACAACTTTAAAATACGGAACAGTACAAGAGCACTATTCCGGTTGGCGATACTCCCACCCGAATTCGCCGATGCCGTATCCTGGCATTAACAATTCAAGGCTTTCCCTTCATAGCTCGCGGTCAGGTGCGGCGAACGCGACGCGATTTTTCGGGGAGGATACCACACCTCACACTGCCACACTTGACGTACCTGCCCAATTTTTTCAATAAGCAATCCTAAGGTTTCGGATGATTCCTAACCAATATTCCAGACAGAATCTTCGCACGAAATATGGTCGCTCGTCTGCATTCTTTTTCGTGTGCGTGATGAAGTACGTCAGAAATGCTACTGTGGGCGGTGTTGAAACTGTCTCCGACGAGATTGTTGATGTTAAATGGTTCACGAGGTCCTGCTGAGTTATTCAATTCTCTATTTTTTTCTAATAACTATATAGATGTTGTTCTTGATATTGTTGGTTTTGCTTCTGCCTCGAGGTTGTTAGGTGGGGATCTTTATTCTGGCCATAGTTTCGACGGACTCCTCGTTTTCGATGGCCTGAAGATGGTTCAAAGCTCGTTGATCGCACGCTACACCACCAACCGCCTCCTCGGCTATAGCGCTTCTGACGTTCTATCAGGAATGCACGAGAAATGCCCAGAACTCAAAAGATAAGCTCACCTCACTTCCACCGCACAGAGTCACTCTACGCCTTACGGTTAGTACATTAGTAGCGAATGATCTTACTTACTCATATTCTTAATAACAGCGCGTTTAACAGCTGAGGGATGCGCAGATGTAGTTTGAATCAGAATGCCAACTTGTGAGGAATAGACTCTATGATACGCAGAGCTTGACAGAGGCTTGCGTCACGTGTCCAAACGGGAAAACGGAGATTCCGCTTCTATAGGCGTAATTTATCAATTTCAATGTGAGGCATGTAATGTAAGCTACATAGGGGGAACTGGAAGAGTCTTATCAGTACGAATCAAAGAGCATCTCGCTGGTAAACGACGCAGTAATATGTTGACTCCGTTAGGGAAGCACTGAGTGGAACAGCATGGTGGTCATGATTTCAACATCAGGTGAACGACATTGGCTGACAAGAAGGGAATATCGTCGTGGAAAGCATTGAAAGCGTTCCTGATTTTCGCTAGAAATCCAGATATGAATAGCCGAAATGAACGCGTGGCGATCACAAACGGTCTCTCGTCATTCATGCAACACTGCGAGTTAGTACCATAATCCGCGAACGTGCTGATCCGCAATAATAATATTATTGCATAAGGGCAGCGAAGTAAGATCATTCGCTACTAGTGTACTAACCGTGTAGCGTAGTGCTACACTTCGCAGTGGAAGTGAGGTGAGCTTATCTTTTGAATTTTGGGCATTTTTCGTGCGTTCCTTATAGAACGTCAGAAACGCTGGAGCGGAGGAGGCGCTTGGTGGGGTAGTGTGCAAACAGCAAGCTTCGAATCGCTTTCAAACCTTTGAAAACGACGAGACTTTCGAAACGTTGGCCAGAATAAGAATTTCCACCTAACAACCTCGAGGCAGAAGCAAAATCAACAATCTCAAGAACAACAGAAATGCCGAGGTTAAAAGATGAGAGAACTTGGAATTTACTGTACGCATATCTCGTCCTTTAATTTAAAAACTACAGCTCTGGATCTAATGGCAGGAAATAAGTGTCCCAGGGCAAGAAGGTGTGACAAATTTTCTCGAATTTCCAGAGACGAGGTCAACTCAAAGCCAAGACATGAGTTCTTCGACCACCATCGCAATATTTGGCTGGCCTACCTAGAATCTCTGGAGGATGTCGTTGGAGAAGAGTCGTATGAAGCCACCAAGAGAGACGTCACTCCGAAGATGTTCAATTTTTCCTGTGAGCCTGTTCCAGCAGCCTTTCCGAGAACCGAATGATCAAATATGATCGAAAAATGCTATATTTTTCAAAGACGAATCATCTCTTCCTGTCTGCCTAAGAGTACTGGTAATCTGTATGATGTAGACTTACGCTATCCATTCTAGTTTCCTTTTCTAGAAACCTAACTTTCCACCCCATTTTTCACTCGCGTTTGATTGTGTCCTCTATGTTTGTGATCATCAAATTCAGTCTGCGGGCTATGAGACGAGGTCGCTTACGAGGTTGTTCACTATATAACGGCTTCATGAATTTTGTTCTCAATGTTTTTCCACATGATTGTTATAGTACTAGCATGGTAATTCAGCCTGAGCAGATATATCGATTATTTATTATATCGCTTTTTGTCGCGTGGGAAAGTAAGTTGCCCATGGTAATTCTCTACAAACGGGAAAGAGGTACATGGAACCTTTGAAGGAGTGTCGCATGATTAAAGTTGGCTTTGTAGAAGACTCATGTTCAAGTAGGAAAGAGTACAACGTAAATGCAAAAAAAAATGGTGATTTTAGGTGGGTGATTCAGAAAAGCGAAAGTCCCAGCTATGCTCAATCACAGCACAGCGGCACGCTACTGTAAGTAGTTAAACCGTCTCATTATCCAAGGGAATGTCTGTATTGAATCGGAGTGCATGGAGCATCCTAAGCGGATTTCATTCCCAGCTTCCATTTTTGATCGAATCCATTCATTCAATGTATGAGATACTCATTCCAGGAGGTGGAAGGAGAGTTCACCAAACAAAGTCCCACAATAGGAACTCGATTTTCTTGTTAAATTGTGACAAGAAAAGATTTACAGTTTACATTCACAAATGAATTTGACAATAGCAGTTTCAATGTTTTATACGAGACCGAATCGGAATCACTGATTATCCGTGGCAGAATACGAAATCAATGCGTGTCACTTCTGACCGCATCACATTCCAAATCCCCCAAGCCGTCATAGCTGGGTCTACCGAATCCGCCAATTGGGTGGAGGTGGCGCAATTTCCTCAATGTTTGGCGGAACCATTGGAAGCCGAGCATAGCCTCCGCATCGAAATCTGAATTAACCTTAGCGTTCAGGAAGAATTCAAAGTTCTAGTTTCGATACTCCAGTTATTGCAGAAATATTTGTACTAAGGTTCCTCAGGAGGCTCAGGGAAGATTATAAGTTAGACCGAGTAGTACAGAGTCATTTCTTTAGTAATAGTATTAAATCTTGTTGGCCTTCAGTGCAGTAACGGTCAGGCAGGGGTTATGGTATTACTGAAAGCTTGACATCACTGTATTGGGTACCCACAATGCGTGGTCTCAATAACTACTTTCGGAATCGTTTTACTTAAAAGGTAGTATTTTTTCTTATAGCAATGGGACAGAAACCACTTAGGTGTTTTCTTCTCAGTACCTGGTTACTGATTACACCTTCCCAATGAACACTACAGTAACTGAAGAGGAGTAAGATATCCGCAAACTTCTCTGATTGGGTAAACTTAAATTTTAATGTGAATGAGATCCGCTCTGAAAGGAATTCTAAATGATAAACCACTGAACAATATTAACAGCGGAGATCCACCGAAGCTGATACTCTGTTATATCGTACAATCTTGAGGTTCGATTTTGAGGACACACGTTTAAAACATTCTTTGTGCAGGATGCTTTGAACAGAAGTTAGACAAGGTTTTATCGTTTTCAGAAGAATGTCTGACGAGGCTGTTGTTCAAAGCAAGAAAGCGTAAGGAGTAAAAGAGCACGATTTACAAATAAAGGCGGAACTAGTGATAGTTTCTGACCAACAGGTCAAATAGAGGTGCGGCGAGATCTGTAACGTGTATAATATGAATGGGTGGGTCGGTCAGTTGGTGATTCTGAGCTCTCGGGAATAGTATTGTCGTAGCCTACAATAGGGTCGTTGGAGGCCCCAGCAGCCTCTAAGGAATCCTGTTTTACTCCAGCAACCCATGGCGAAGTGAAGACAGGGTCAGATAAGAGATGACAGCGTTTAACCTGATTCATATGAACTTTCTTGGGAGGGGATTGCGGCGAAGAGTTACCCAGAATAGTTAAGCGAGGAGGATCCACTTTGACTACGCCAAATTGTCCCAACCACGGGTAAAACAGCTTCTGGGAGGAGCAGACTCGTCTGGAAGGATACAAGCACTGACTTGTAAATCAGCAGGCCACCGCAAGTCATTGTATAGGCCTCATACGCACTCATTACGCCACTACGATTCTGAATGTAAGTCGAGTGGAGGCGCACTTCTGAGACAGGATTGATTAAATTCCTATCTTTGGTAAATAATTTCCAAAAATTGAGTGGTCTGGAAAATTTCAGAAATGATTTGAGAAAGACCTTCATTTTGTTGCAGGACTTTCCTTCCAACCTAATATCTAATCTTTAATTCTTTGGCAACTGGCGAGGTGTTCAAAGGCTGGCAGTGTCGCAACGCCGATATACCTTCTTCGCTCACGTGCAGATGGGAAATCTGAGCGTATCACTTTTCTCTACTATCGTACATTAGTACCTTTTCGTGATTATCTGCGTCTCTTGTGGGTTTGAGTCATGAGAATCAGGAGGTCATTTCACTGAGCAGAATAGAGGCAGAACTTGTCTAGTGCTCCTGCGATTTCAGCTCAGAGACAGCTACTGAAGAGAGAATGGTTAGGGCGATCTCCTGTGGGAACTTAAGAGGCTCATTAAAGTTTTCATCTTCTGACAGCCTTCAAACACTTGGAACCTCTGACGCTATCGTGACAATGTTCAGTGAACCCTATGTTACTAGCGGGGTCCCAGAACACACAAGTGTCTGAGAGTTCATGTGCTCCAAGGCATTAACAATTGTGGAATTTTGCTTGCTGAATCTCCTTTCGCGTCTTGGAATGCGTAAACTCACGGAGTATAGGATTCAATCAAGAATGGATGCTGGAAATGAAATTCTGCTTCGAATGCTCTGTTCTGTGAACTTCTTGGTAGCCGAAACTGTAGGAATCAGATGAAGAAACATTGAGAACAAAATTTATAAAGCCCTTAGAATGAACAGTTTACCGGCTGCCTAACTAGTAATTCTTTGAATGATCTACTTGAGCACAAAGAAGTAATAGAAGATCCAGAAAGTACCATTATTGGCAAATATCGAAAACCAAAATAAGTCTAGGACTTAAAGAAGGTCATGAGAGAGGTTGGCGCCTCCAACTGGCCACCGATTTTAGCCAACCAACGAAAAGCTTTCAAGGACCTCATCTCATAGTCCAAAGACTAAATATGATGCTCACAAACATAGAGGGCACAATTATACAGGAAAAGAAAATGGCGGTGGAAAACTAGGTTTCTAGAAAAGGAAATTAGAATAAGTTACTTAAGTGTACAAAAAGTCATGAATCTCATACACATTACCAGTACTCTTGGGCAGACAGGAGGAAGTATGATGTGTCCTTCAATAATACACCATTGTTTGAACATATTCTCGGAAAGGCTGCTGGAATAAGCTTCTCAGAGGAAGCTGAAGTTTAACTTCTTTGTATTGACGCGTTTCTCGGTAGCTTCATGCCCCCAAGGTCCCTCCAGAGATTTTAGGTAGGCTTGCCAAATTTTGCGATGGTAATGGTAGAACTCGTTACTTTGCAGCGAGTTGATCTCGTCTCTGAAAAAAAATTTCTGAGCAATCTGTCCCATCCTGTAGCCCATTGGCTTGATATACTTGTTCTCGCCATTGAGCCCAGGATTGTAGGTTTCAGATTAATGGATGAAAGAGGTAAACAATTATTGAAGAAAATAAAAAAAGAATGACTTAACAGGACCTTGTGAACCATCTCACGTCAACAACCTCATCATTCTGAACACGGCCCACATCTCTGACGTACTTCATCTGGCACGTGAAAAATAAGGCACACGAGCCATTAAATTTCGTCTTAAGTTTCTGCCTGGAATATTGGTTAGGATTCATTCGAAATCTTGGGATTGATTATTGAAAAAATCGAGTAGGTACTTCAAGCGTGGCAGAAGGAGGTGTGGTATCTTAACCCCGGAAATGGTGTCGCGTTCGCTGCACCTGATCGCAAGCTATGAAAGGAAAGGTTTGAATTGTTAATGGGAGGATACGGCGGAATTACTGCTGCTCGCCGAGGGAGTTCGGGAAGAAGCACCGTCTCCCGGAAGTATGCTTCGTACTGCACCCTAGTTTGAAGTTGTTTTTTGCAAGTCAATTATACATATCTCTTTAGGACGGAAAAAGTCTGAACACAACTGCATATTGCGACTTCTTTTCACATTCCATATTGCACGATATGGTAGGACCCCTGAAGGTCAAGAACTCTATCAAGAATTGCCGGTTCGATGGTTAGGTTCTTACCTGAAAACGGTGGGAGCCCAGCGGTCACACATCTCGCTACAGGGGTAAATGTGATCATTACGGATATGTAAGCATTCCCCCTCCCCCTTCTCTTCTCTTGAATGATTAAGTAATTGAAAAGAAGGCTTGAGTGAACGAGTAAGCATAAAAAAATAAGTAACTTGAAAGAGCAGACCCCAGAGAGATGACGGCTTCGCCTTTAGCGACAACTCCAGTTTCTTCGAGAACCTTTCTTTCAGCCGTCGCAAACAAAGTCTCCCCTGGTAAAGGCGCACCACCGGGGAACTTCCAACAGGATACGCTGAAACAAATTCCTTGAACAAATCGAAGAGTAGGGGCTTGGAATTGAAGTTACTCCATGAATCTCACTTGCGTAAGTGGCCCAAATGAATTAAACTAATCGCTAAGAGTTGTAAAAAAGTGCCAGACCCGATAAAAACCTATAGCTGATGAATGCACAAGAATATTATTCGGCTGCATTCAGGGTTTGCGTCGGCCACGCTGACACATGTGTGCGACGGATCGATACCGGTAAAATGACTGTGGCTACGCAGACGCACGCCGTTGGCGAGCTAATGCAAACCACAAATACAACCTGTGTCTCAAGCTTAATTTTACTGTCCGAAATTAGGAATAGATAAAATAAAAGTCATACCGGTGCTGATCGCGAACCAT